AATTGTTACAGATAGTGTGGAGTGCAGTGAGCTAGGTCGGTCAGGACGCAGCTATAAAGTAGTACGACCCATGAGGCGACTTTCCTGGACAGACTGTCCCATAATGTACGAATGCAAAAAAAAAGTAAGGAAGATCTTAATTAACAAATCTTTAAAAATACCAAATTGAACGAAGGATAAAGTTTCAGTTAAGTCACAGGAAAAAAAAATGCATATTCATCCAATATTGGATAGTAACTGTTTGTCTAGAGACAAAAATTGCTTGTTCATGATCTTACGCAGCAATGCGTGCAATGATGAGCTCAATGTTATCGAAACTCCTGTTATGTTTATTACGCAAAGATAACTTGAACTTGAACAACGGAGCGTTGCCAGAGGCATGTATGAAAATGTAGAAAGAGAAAAAGCAATAAAACGAAAAAAAAAACAACCATTACAGCTGAAAAAAAAGCAGAATTAAATCAATTCTTTTGGCGACAGAAGTTCTGTTAGGTAGAACGAGACATTTTGGCAGCGAGCCTAATAGTTATCATTACAAAATGTTCCACGTTGTTAAGATGTAGTGTTGCAGATATTCCATACCTTCAATATGAGTTGATTGAATTAATTTGGGATGACTACTCATTTGACATTTTTATTGAACTATAATCAAATTTATCTTTAATGGAAGATAACTGGCGCTCCATTATAGAATATAGACTACAAGAATCTACACGAATAAGACCGTCATTAATTCACCACGGGTCATTGAACTATACTATATTGTTTGGCAGATCGACTAGAACGCTCTATATGAGGAAAAATAGATGTGGCTTAACGAATTGTTTTCAACTTTGGAATAGATTTACCATGTCGATAGTGAGTCATGGCGAATTTATGTATGGATGCAACTTCTAGAATGGTCTTGATAAACCCAAAATCATTCAAAAATATCACGAGAAATATAGCTAACTTGATGCAGTATGTTTCCTCGTTTTCCCTAAAAGCTTTATGCACATGCTTATTCTAAATGTATGCGACATATCTAGCTGTATTTCGGTGGCAGATCAGTCAAATCATTCACCTTAGCCTCCGTCGTAAAAGTTCCTCTAAGCACAAACACCACCGAATCCTGCGGATGCACTCTCACTATACTTTTTTTCTCTCTCGACTGTACGATTACGATTCCGCAAATACCGACGATGATTCATATGTGTTTTTCCGTATACAACACCGTTCACTTCAAGTAGAAAGAGATAATCAACAGACAACCAGGATAAACCTTTTCTAATCGATTTCCATTTTTGTGCTGCACAACAATCCGAAAGGAAACTTCCTATATTTACCGTAACTTTAGCAGCAGAGTAACTCCACCAGCTGTCAAGACACAATTCGGAATCGGAAAACGCACACCGCGAAGCTACCTAAATGTAGGATCTCCTGTACACTGCTCTACGGTCTGCACCACACAAACGAAGGAGGTCAAATTCTTTTTTGGAAAATGCCACAACACTAACTCTTCTTTCGCTCTCCTATGAAATTCACATTCTCTCATCTCAGGTTCCCCCACTGAAACCGCGAGTAGAGCATAACAACACACACAAACACATCAAATAAGACTCACTTGGCTCACTGATTAGGGTGGTGTGCACTTTATTAGTAACTGTTCGTTCTACATGTCTACTCAACCAGATATTTCACTTTGGGATAACATTAGCAATTACTTAGTATTATTTTAAAAGTAGATGAACTGTTGATGTTAAGATTCCTAGCTAACTAGTGAATTTCATAAGACAACATATATATGGTAACCGCAGTTAATTTCATATCTTTAGGAAATCCCTTCCTCAATCAACGTAAATTTAGATTTATGAAACGAATAAATATAATCTTAATATTCCTTGTATAAATTAAATCAGATAGGTATCAGATAAATATTTTTTTTCCTTGATTTGTTTTCCGTCGATTTTGTTTTCCGTGCTGAGCACCAATGCTACCGACGCCAGGGGAACCAGACGCCAGCTCCCACACCTGGACCCTACCTATCGACCCATCAACTCACGAACCGGGACCAACGGCTTTACTTCCCTTCCGAAGGAAGGCGTGATTAGAGATGTTATGCCTCAGAACATCCCGGCGGCCTGCTGGGGTGAGAGGTACACCACCGGCGCCGCTGTACATAAATAATGTACACCCAGATCGGTCAAAACTGAACCTTCCCAAACAAGGAAAAAATATTATTTATGTATCTGATTTAATTTATACTATATTTATTAATATCACAACTCTATTTTTTTTTTGATTTTGAACTGTTTAATATTCTTAATTTTACGAGACATCCGACACCGAAAAATGAAAATGTTAAATGTAGTGTAATTATCAAGATTTGATACTTTAAAAAAATCATGGCCAGGACAAAGTTTTAGGATTCTGAGACTTTGAACAATTGTGTACACAAATTTAATGAGAATGCTAAATGAGTTTTGTGAATAACTGTAGAGATAATTCCAAAATGAATTCTGTGAATAATTCTTAGGTAATTCGACTAGGAATTCCAAATACTTTTGAGTATTCAAGAAAATTGTAATGAGAACTGAAGGTGAATTCCAAGGTAGTTCTGAAGAGACTTTTATGTGGATCGTGGATACCTCTGGCGTCATGGTAACGTTGCGATCTCAGGTTTTCCCAGTTCAGTGGCCACCACGGCAACATAAGCGAATTTCTCGCTAAGAGAATCGATCAACAATGATAGGGCCTTTTCTCGTGTTACGCGCGAAATGTTTAAAAAAAATCGATACTATCGCTTATTACGTAAGTGTAAATTTATATTAACGTAAGGTCGCCATTCACCGTTCACTGTATACTAAATATATTTGTCTAAAAATTTGCAAATTATAGCAACACAAATTTCAAGTATATTATGGTGAATGATAATATTGATTTTTGTTGTAATAAATTAAAGAAATAATGGCAATAAGTATGCAGTGAGCGGTGAGTTTGTGTAATATACACTTCTATAAACTTCATTGAAAATTTCCAATATGAAATCGACAAATTCAACTTTTCGTTTTATTCGAAATAAACCTAATGTACAGTAAGTAGGGGGAGGAGGGGCATAGTGAGCATACCGCAGTTAGACCCTGGATGAAACAAATCAACTGGTAGTAGGTTCAATTTCATTATGATATTGATCCTACCACCAATAAATTTGTTCCGAACGACCGGAAGTCCAAGCTGGTGCACGGGATGCTCACTATGCCCCTCCCACAGTAAGTAAACCGAGGGAAAATTCATCACTTATTTCAGAAAAAGGTGAATATTTTGTTTGAGTGTAGCTTATTTTTTAATTATTTTTAAAACCATGGTGCACAGGTAACAAAACCTAATTCAAAGATGTATCAAATAACAAACGTAACTATTAATATCATCTATTGTTAGTGGCAAATATCAAAATATCACATAGCAGCGAAATCGATCAAATGTTTTTAGATTAATTTTTATGAGATGTTCCAATGTTAAATGTCTGTAGAATGTGAATTATGTTTATAACAATCTAAAAATTGTTCATATGCGTGGAAAGAAAAAAGGATTTCATAACCAACTCCTTGAGAAATATTGCTAAAAACGTGGTATTATCCTACATTAATGAAATTCGAGTAAAAACAACTTGATTTTCAACAGTTTGTTTGATCAACTTCACCACGGTTATCATTTTGCGCCCGGTTTACGGTACCCACTATGAATGACTCATCGTTTTTTTAAGAAGATGAGCGAAACTTCACCCACTAATGGGTTTTTGTCATGTTATAAATCTTATAAAAGAGCGAAGTCTAGCACTATCCAGAGAAATTCTGAACATGACTGTTAATAAATTAAATAGTACCGCATTATCTTGACACGATTTTTCTTTTTGAAAATCATTTAAATATCTGAAACATGGCAAATAGAAACAGCTTATGTGATATATTTTTTATGATAAAAAAAAAACTTTATTTTTAAAATAAAAACAACCATTTCACTTAAACGCAACGTAAAAAATATAGCTGTATCACTTTATTGTACGCGAATTTCATACAGTGGTGATTCCACGTGCATCGGATAAATCTACCTGCCAGCAAATCGCATACCGAACTGTTACGTTAAATGTGTCATCAAAAAAATCTATATCTAGTGTTAGGTATATGCTTTCATTTAGCATTGACGTGAACATTTTTTTTTTAAGTTTTTCAAACATTATCACAAGTTGTAAAATCACGCCTCATAGGAAAATTAAGATTGCAAACTGACAACTGATGTAAAAGCTGACAAGCTGTAAAAACATTTGAACTCTAGTTTTCAAATGTATATTAGAAATTTTCTCTAATATTGAGCAGCATGTGAAATGTGCCAAATGTAAACAATGCCTTTAATCGTCAATTTCTCGTGGATTAAGGCTTTCTTTTTTCCTTTGGATTCGTCTTTTCAGACAGGCTAAGACCATGACTGGTCCATCTCGCCAGGATTAAGGCTTACTTAGGCAAACCAACATCAGCGTCTGGTAGAGGAAGATTGCTCTATCAGATAGTGTAGTTAAATTGCAAGAGAGTGTGGTTCGACGTTTAAAGGCATGCTTTACATTTGTCACATAAGCCCTTTTCATATGTTTCTTGGGTAATGTATGTTTTCTTGACTTGATAAAAAGTTCTACCCAGCAGGGTATCGTAAACTAAATAAATTACAATTACACCCGTAGCAGCACTGGATTTAGATTGATAAGTTAATATGTATTTAATCTCTGGTAAAAAGTTGATAAGACTGGTTTGTCATATCAGCAGCTGACTTCCGGGCAACAATTGCATCGTAGGGAAAGAAATTTCTACATATTACGCTTAAATTTATGCCTGGAATTCAGCTGCGGCATATCGAATAGCCATTTTCTGTGTATCAAGTGCGGCCCACCCTAGCGTCCACAAAACGTGCACACGTTCAATATAATCTTGACACTATACATGTCTGTGTTAGTACGAGGAGTTCCAACTTACTTTAGCAAAAATTTCTCTGCAGGCTCGGGTCTGATCAGTGTTCCACCGTGTAGGAAAAACGAGAAGAAAAAAGTTAGCAAATTTCTGCGACTCCACACACTTCCGGGAACGTAAAATCGGCCTTTTCTGTATTTTAAATCTTTCACTGATAGCAAATCACTCACTTAATATCGATTTTTTATGAAATATGGTTGAACTTTTCACTGAAAATATACGAGAAGCACGTAAATATCACTTTTTCACTTCAGCACACAATCAACCGTATGCATATCTGCCGCATTCAGCGAAAAAGATACGTACACCGCGAGACGACGTATTTTTGCCTTTTGATCAGAGCGAGTTCGGATTTCAAACTGCCGTTCAGTTCACTCTTCACTCTCGATCGTACGTAAGCCTTAGATGATTTTTTTGGCGTTCAACTTACCTGCACTGTAAAGTAATCGTTCAGAAAGCTGGCCGATGTCGGAATTGCTCTAATCGATGTCAAGTCAATTAAACATTGACTACCGGATCGAGAGTGAGTAACATGAACCGTGTATTTGGGCCTTTTCAGACTCAGACGATGACGGCGTTGATGGACTGATGGAGGCTCGGTTGGTGAAAAGAAACTCTACACATTCCGAACATAAGTCTACACAAATAAAACAGTTTGACAGTCCGAGGGGCATATGAAAGCCAATGATACAGAGAGAGGGGTAGCAGATGGTGAAATATTATTGGTTAGTACACTCAAAAAAATTATCACATATCTAATGGATGCAAACCATGTGAATTTCACATAGCTTTCATGTGATCACATAGCTAAAAATCCCACCACAAAATCACATGAATATTATGAGGCCGATGAAATTCATATGAAAAATCATATAAAATTAACGTGATCGCATAAATGTTATGCGAAATTAAGATGAATTCCATTATTTTGTTTATGGATGAAAATCATTTGCGTTTCCAATGGAAGCTACATGAAAACTATTTTCGGTGATAAAACAAAAAATCAACGTTAACGCAAGTAGTGACGTCACTAATTGCTTGTATCGTACAGGGGTTTTACTCACACAACTTAACCAATTGCTTCACCTCGGTAATCTAGCTCATTGTATGAATGCATCAGCACAGCAGCTCCGTTAGACCAATGACGTTTATGCTCGCCGTTTTGCGCGCCGGTGGGTTGCTGGTGACGGCGAGCTGATTGGTAAATCACCGACAAACCGACATGAAACTTAAACTTATCTTTTGCTCATGTGTTTCACTTATACATTTTTGCCAAAACATCAGCCTTATACATATTCCATAATACAAACCACATAGGTCCTGAAGGAATGCATAAACGGTATGTGCGACCATTTATACATGCACGCAGTAAAAAATTACCGTCGAAACAAACATATTTGAGGTAAATTTAAACGTAATTTCAGTTTGTTCTGGCCACAAACATAAACTTGGTTGATTTCAAACGTATTCCATGTTTGAAGCCATTGTTAATAATTTTTAAAACAAAAATATTGTTAAGTTTATTTAAAAAATATTCGTGTTGAAAATAAACGTGAATATTTTTGGTTGATTTGACAACTATATGTGATCAAAAATAAATTAATTTAACATTTGAATGCGGGATAAAACAAAATATTTAAAATGGATAACAAATAAATGGAAATCAAAGAGAGTACCAGAGCTGAGCCAAAAAGTTGAGCACGTTATTTCGGGACCTTCTAGTCTTAAAGTTACCTCTATGGTAATATCATAGAGGTAACTCTAAGACCAAAAGGTCCCGAAGAAACGTGCTCAATTTTTTGGCTCAGCTCTGGTACTCTCTTCGGTCCCGAGCTAATCGATTCACCCCTCGAAACATAGGAAAATCCACGAAACCCTCATTTTATCTGTCAAACGTTCATAGCGAACCAAAACAAACATAGTGTAGTACTAGAATTTCGACTAGAATGGGGTACGTTAATCGATTTGTTTGGGCATCGATGGAGCTGAGGAATAATGAGGTAAATTCTACACAGTATTTTTAAGGAGCCAACTCTAAGAAGGTAATAATAGCAATTAATAATCAAGCAACCATAAAAAGGTAAGAATGAATTTATTTATTTTAAATACAGTAATGACCCGATTTTGTCAGCCCCTCCACGCTTGAGACCTTTTTCTTTCAATAATTTCACATAACCATAATTCTAAATTTTTTCATTCATCGTTAAGAGGGATAAATTTAAAGTATACTTTGGTGCAATAGGTTCAAGGAGATTACTGAAAAAGGGCATGGGTTTTGTAGAACATTGGAAAACATTTTCAAAAAAGGAGACATGATTTATCACATATTTATGGTATTAATCTAATACACACATTTGATCACAATACGAGCCTAAAAGCTGCAGTGCCTACACAGCAAAAAAAGTTGTTGAATATTACATCGAAACTGATGCAACCAGGTCAATCCATCGGTTGTGTAATATCACATTGTACAATGTACATCGATTTTGCGAACAAAATTACATCCATTGATGTAATATTGTATCTGCTTTTTGCTATTACATCATTATTTCATACATCAGCTGGAATTACGTTGATCGATATTACATTTTTTTTTTTGCTGTGTAGTGAGCACCTTGAGCACCATAGCTTGAGTCGTCTGTTAGTATTGTGTATTGCATGGAGATATAATAAGATCATCAATCTTGATTACGCCCTTTTGTTTTTGTACTTTTTGTTTGACAAACTGTCAGTTTGGCCCCACTCACAGCGCCTATTTTTTTCGGATTCAATTGCGCCCTTTTACACAAATTTTATATCGTGGGTTTCTTTCGTTGTCTTTAATTAAATTAAATGCAAAATTTGAATGGTTGTGAAAACAAAACAATGAAATAACCACCATCATCTCTGATGGAATTCTCGTCTAACTTTTCAAAAGGTCCTATCTAACATTACACTCTTTTCGAGAAAAACGAGGTTGAAGATTGACAAAATCTTTTTTGATACTATTTTAAACCAAATCAACCTTTGACATTTTTAAGACCTTTAATAGTAAAATTGAAATTGAAATTATAATCTATCCGTTTCATACATTTTTTTTCTATGAAAACGTGAAAAATGTTACATAGGACATTTTGCTCTTGTCAGGTACATGTTATATAGGGCGTTTTGTTATAATCACAGTTACATAGGTCATTTATGTTTTCAACATTATTGTTTGTTTTTAAGCATTATGAGTGCATAATTTAAGTTATACGAGTTAAACGAACAATATGAGTATTGGACAATGCATCAACTTTTTTTTAGCGGTATATCGCAACACTGCCCACAGATTGTTTTGGGCGATCGTTGGTGGTCGCGTGAGCTGCTTTTTATTTGATAACAGTGTTATTTTAGGGGCTGCAGAATCACATTGTTTTGGTTTGTTTGAACATTTTAGACGTTTTACTCGTATAAACACAAAGGACCGAAGTACAGATCTGCATTGTTTTGGTTTTTCTGATACTTCAGACGTTTGTCTTGATGAACATAGTCAAACGTCTTATGTAACAGTGAAACATCGTTAATGCAAATTTGGACTTCAGACGTTTTGTTAATTTAGAATTTTCTCAATTCAATTGACATTAATCTGAATGTGTGTGTGTGTGTGCTTATGTTCTTAGGTACAAATGTTACAATGTGCATTTATAAACTCGATTTGTTCACATTTGTTACTTAGGACCTTTTGAAAAGTTTTTATTTTATTCCGCAGCGGTAATGATCGGGGCTGATAAATTACAATTACGTAAGATCCTATTAAGAATTTTCTTGGACTGCAGTCTTGTTCCGAAAAATTTCATTAAATTAGGACTGTTCTAGATAGAGCTGGAATAAGGGCCAATGTCGCAATGGGCTGTAACTGAGAAAAATGAATCTGAAATTTTGAGCAAGAAAAATCAAATATAAAATAATCTATAAACCCATTACAAAAACTTTAATATTTTATTGGTTAGAATTAATGTAAGATAAATAAAAAAAATATTTTTATTTACGCCTTATTGATTTATAGTATTTTGCATCGCCCCGAGGTAATTCGCCCGGCATTGTCTGTTTCGCCTCAACTTTTACGTTCATTTTCCTAACGATTTGTTACTATCGACCTTTTGCAGTTTGCTATATTCCAGATACATTCATGTATTGTTGTGTTTTCGCTTCTTTTTCATGTATTTCGATCAGGTTAACAATGTTTCCTTTTGATTACCATCCAGTAATTGCAAATTATATCTTTCGCCTTGTGTTGAGAAAATGTATCTGTTTCGACACATCTATATACGGGAGTAAGCGGGCGGAAGAAACAACTCAATTTGTAAACAAATAAAAGTTGGTTTCGCCCTTATGTTTATTTTTGGAAAACAATATTTTTTCCATGTTTTAAGAAAAAGAAAAAAAATCCATTTTTTTATATCGTTTTGAAGTATTTTAATAGTAGTATATATAACGTGATGCATTATTCCAGTTCTATCTAGAGTTTACATAGCTTTCCAGCTATTCATCATTTTATACCTTCTAAAAATGATATGAAGAGTTGGTATATTCAGAAAATATTATCAGAGGCAACTTTGCAGAGAACGATGCCCATCAATTTGCAAAAGCATACAGTTAGGTTGGTAACATTGATTTGTATGGATTGGACAGTCGGATTATCGAATCAACTACGCTAATCCAGCAACAAATTTGTCGGACTAGCGGAGGGATAATGTATTCAGAGGAGAGCAATTTTTGGACCCTAAGAATTCTTTAACAATTTTTTGTATTGATCCTACAAACTCTCTAAAATTCTGATAAGAAATCCATAATTCAGTAGTTACACTACTGAAATCTGCAAGTCCCTTCGAGTTGACATGGCATTCATTTCAGAGTGATCCTTAAATCCTACTCCGTCTTTTTTGTCTTGTAAATCTCCTTATTTCCGAAAATATGACAAAAAATCAATAATTCTTTTTCCTGGAATGAACTTTTCTCGAAGTTCCCATTTAACTATCCTAAGCATTGCCTAAAGATTTATTTTTATCTATCCTTAGAATTCCATTAGAATGCTTCTCAGCATTGTTTCCTACAAATCCTTGAGACTCTCTTAAACAATTCTTTCCTCTCCAGAATTTATTTAGAGCTCTCTTCAGAGATCGATTCTTTTAGATTTCTGCATAGTAGGGTAGAGAACTACTTCGGCCTAATCGCCCATTTTGGGCCTATCGAGCAGAAAACTTCAAATAAATCCATGATTTCAGAGTTAACATGTCAATTATGCGTTTGGTACGATTCTTTAGTTAATAAGCTACCAAACGAAGTCAATGAGAACGCATGATATGAAGGTTTGCACCCATTATTCCCAAAAACAAAAGAAGCGCTCCGACCG